TCATTTATGCTTTTTGTTAAAAAATTATTGATAAAGTTATTATGTAGAAGGGTTTTCATACCAGAACTATTTATTACAGACGTACGTATGCCTTAACCTGATTACCGCGGCAGTATGACGTCACGGAGTAGTGATTTTGAAAAAATAACAAACAAAAATCAAGAATTTTTCAGAGAATTATTATCTGATATGAAATTAAAGAATAAATATTAAATATTTTCATATTGTAAATGTCTGTGATGAGAGATGAGTCAGCTTAGAAAAAATCAAGGTACTATTTTTTTACCTGATTACCGCGGCAGTAAGATTTGACGGACGGTATCAACATTGGGTCGGCATAGCCTCCCCAATAAAACTATTGTTCCCGCCTGGATTATTCGGAAAGACCAAAAAGTTAATGTGGTTTGCATACCATCACGTGACATGTGCGAAACATTCGAGCATTAAGACGCAAGAACAATTGGAAGTGGTATCAAAATGAAATATTGAAAGAAGCTGGGACCTTGAAGTTAAAAACGGTTTATAATATATAAGTTTGTTAAGGTACTTAATTAAAGGAGCTCCACTGAGGTCCTAAAACCTAAACACATAAAAATACATTCTTACATAGATAAACTGCATGGACATTTAAAACGAATCTACATCTACATCATACTGCTTAACAATCAATTCTGATTATGACTAGCAGGTGCGTTGTCAGGGAACTGTTAATAAAAGAAATTATTAATATGCAAATTAAAAAGTTAAAAGAATAAAAGTACTACGAGACTATTAATTTAAAAGACATACTGTGCGATTTAGAATTTATAGAATGGGTCAAGCCTCTCAGTAAAGGTGTTTAAACGGGGGCTAGACTGAACAGTTATGGGAAAGCTAACCGCAGAGGCGGTGGGTCCATCGATCGAAAAGCGATGGATAAAATATGGCTGTTTGCTTTTGTCGGTAAGTTTATGACTGAATTTTGCTTTATGCTTTAATGTTTTACTGGAAACACCTGGTGAGACTGGAGCCCACATATGTACTTTTCCAACTTATTGCACGCACACGGTGCAATTCACTGCCATTTGTACAATCACTTCTGTACAGTTTGACGAGGGGACGCCACGTTTGCCTAATTTTGGTAAAAACACGTACATTGTACATAATTATGTGTGCAAAAAACGACCCCTAAATACACCATCATTACATGGAGTGTATGATAAATGTACAAAACAACCATATTTTGGAGCTGTTGAAAATTGTTACTGCCTTTTTTATAGAAGAATTGACAAAAATTGTTTATAACGCAGACGGCGCTCGATTTGATTGCAACGCAGTGCGTTTGTCCTGGTCATTATGAGGGTTTACCAATCGCAACTACTCGGCCCTTTCCGTCAGTCTTCGGATAAGGACCTCGAACACAATAGTATGAATATACAGAACGGATGCGGTATTTCGGTCTAACCTACGCTAAGAAACTAAACATGTAAACAAATAGTAATTTAAAGCTGGAAGTTGTTGACAAGTTTATTTCCAATATATGTAGTAAAAGTCTACCTAAAATAAATGAATATATGTTTAGAAAATTAATCGCACACAAATATTTTTATGATGAACAAATATTCAGCAGGATTGAATAATATTATGGTATAGAACATAGGGACACGGCACAGTGTTGGGATAGTGTAAAAAAGTAATTCTCGAAAAAAATATAGTTTATATGTAATATATAGACTATATTATATATATATTTTTTTTTTTCTAGAAATACTTTTTTTACACTGTCCAAACACTGTGCCGGGTCCCTTTGGAATAGAATATAAAATTAGGGTTATACAATATAAATATTGGATATAGAATACAAATTTAAGTTATCGAATATTGCAACATTTAACATGCCATAGTCTGCAGACAGTTTTTTTTCAATTTCCCGAAATTTGTAAAAATGCATTTGCCCTTACATCACTAGACCGTCGTTGTGTCATCACGTCGGTGATGGTCCTTATTACATACCGTATTTTATTGCAACGGGACGTACTAAATCCGTACGGTGTTGTTTTTGATAGGGTAAGCGTCATGTTTGTTTATTTGTTTATTTTGAATTTAGAATTTAGCTAGATCTACTTAATGTTTTCCTATCAAATAAAGTATTCTACAGATTGGAATAAGGTAGTAGCTTATGAATTCATTAGTCATTTCTATATAATAACGCTTGTAGATTTAGTCACATTATTAATCACTGTACGCGATTGTGTACAGTAAAAGATAATTCATCCGAGTTGTTATCAATCGCAACTTCTCGGTCCTTTCTGTTTCAGAATAATAGCCGAGATGGTTCGATTGCTGACTTAAAGTCACATCAGCGTTGTAATATGTGCCGTGTGGAGACCGTAAATAGTCGCCCCGTACATTCAATCAGGGATGTTATATTTCCGATCCTTTAATATTGTTCAGAACGACAATATTGTTGTGCTTGTGGTATTTATTGTTCTTCCTCGATCTTCGGCTTTTTTTCTAATTGGGTGGTTCCAGTATTCCACACTTGAATACGTACGATTTAATCACCCTTAGGATATGTGGCCTGCTCTTTAGATTTGTCTTTTGACGGCTTATTTGTGACATGCAGGCTTCATAACCCCTGATCCCCTTTCAAAATTCCAGCCCATTGTTTTCTCGTTTAGGGCACATCACACGTACGCATTGGCCATTCTTTTACTTGGGGACCATACGCCAATTTTTATGGAATGGCATTGACGTGTACATGTATCAAATTATAAACACACCCATAAACTGGTTGCAATTACGTAGATCAGTAGGTTGCAGGTAGAATGGCATCGTCGGATACCCACGGCCGAACCATTATCATTCATCATCATGATTGCATGTTATGTGACATGTTTATCAAGCGTGGGTATCCGACGATGGTAGAATGGTATCCTGTTCGAATCGATTGCTGCATAATATACCATAGACAATTATGTCTATAAAAAGAGACAAAAATAAGATCATAACTTGGTAATCCGCTTTAAATAGTTGCGTTTACCTGCAACAAACTGTCTAGCTTCCCTACATGTTAACGGGTGTGATAATAGGGGTGTTTATATATGTGTCAACTTATATGCATATATCATAACTGTAAACAAATATGTTGATGGTTTTCAGATAAATTTTAAGTGAGATAAATTGGTTCATGCATTTTAAAAATACCTGTACGTAATGAACAAATCTTCACTGATGGTAAATCGTAGTATTTTTTACGAATTTAAGTATAGAGCCCATGCTATCTATAGTGACCCATTAATTAAAGGCATGTGCATAATATTGTTCTTTTGGGGAAAAAAACCAACAACAAATGTTTTCTCCTGGAAACACTCTGTGGATGGGTTACTCACTCAAATGAGGGGACCTAATGCTCTTCACACCATATTCACTATTAAACGTACAAATAACCTCTCGTATTTGTATAGTAATTTCGGGAGAAAATGTAGGCTCATTCTTTTATAAAAGTGTCCTCCAAAGTAAATATAGTATAGTTGGCTTATGTTGGATCAGCCTGAATTTTAAGTTTTTCGCCATTTGCCACGATGATGATGATGATGATGATCACCACTACAACCATCATCATCATCGTCGTCGTCGTCGTCATCATCATCATCATCATCGTCATAATCATTATCATTGTTATTATTATCTAATACCCTTTCGCAAAGCGGGTATGTGATTATAGGAATGGCCTCTGTCTGCCACTGTCAGTCCGTCCGTCCGTCCGTAAAACTTTCGTGTCCGCTGCATATCATATCCAAGGTCAACGTTACCCTTTAAAGGTCAAGTGTTAAGAAGCACATTTCGTGTCCACTCAATAACTTTTAAACCGCTGAAATGTTGTTTTTTTAATAACTTAGCACAAATGATCACCATTATGAGACGATGTGCAGAGTTGGCGTCTCAAGGTCAATGTCACATTTAAAGATCAAGTGTTGAAAAGTCTACATTTCGTGTCTGCTCCATAACATTTAAACCGCTGCAATGTTTTTATGATAACTTGGCGGAAATGATCACCATTAAGACACTATGTGCAAAGTACAACAATCAAGTCACTATCCTCAAGGTCAGGGTCATACTCAAAGGTACAAAATTAAAACATCTTTTTTACTTGTCCGCTCTTAAAGTTATTAACAATTTAAAGGTTTTAAATTACTTGGCACAAATGATCCCCACGATGACACAATCTGCATAGTGCAACATCTAGTTACTAGGTTGCTATCCCCAAGATCAATGTTACATATAAAGGTCAAATGATAAAGTCCACATTTTCCTGTCCGCTTCTTGACATAGAAACAACTGAAAAGTTTTTAAAATGACTGCGCAAATGGTCACCATAATGACATGATGTGTGGAGGGCAATATTCAGGTCGCTACACCAAAGGTCTAGGTCAAACATAGAGGTCAAATCTTACAAGACAACAATTTTGTGTCCTCTTCATAACTTTTTAATTACTGAGATTTTGTAATTATATTGGCACAAATGATCACCATCATCACCTACAGAGGGCAACAACTAGATGGCTACCCCCAAGGTCAAGGTTATAACATATCCAGCAGTCTTGTAATTCTTACCTGAATGATTTGAAAATGATGAAAACTATAACAAATAATACATTAGAGTCACAATCAAAGTATTATAAGTTAGAACAAGACATACATTTATATTACTAAACCATGTACACGGAACAGCAGTTTTGACTAAAGCATGATACAACCAATGTCAATATATGAAGTCTAAAATTACCCATGGTTACCAAAACCTTGACCTAGAAAGTCAAACAAAATAAGAGGATGGACATAGTTATCATTCTGAATATGGAAGATTATTAGCCAATTAGTGAAAAAAGCCTTTGTGATGAGCAAATGTACTTGCGATATATATGTGCATGGCACAACTTTGGTTTAAGGTCAAGAAGTACACATTCTGCGGAAGGGAACTTAGCTGTCCTTCAGACTGCTGTGTAATTATTATAAATACATGTATTATTGAATTTTATTATTATCATTTACATTATCATTATAGCTTGTATATACATGTAATTTATTATTTCATAAAGAATTTTTTCTTTTATACTTTAGATTACCGACAAGATGGAAGAATCATGCAACGGAATACCAGTCTTAGATTTTGAAAGTCTTGGTCTACACAGAAAACGGGAACTTATAGACAAAAAGGAGCTGAAAATTGTCGGAGACCGTGTGAAAGATGCTTTCACTAAGGCGGGATTCTGCTATCTTAAGAATCATGGAATCGATCAGAATTTAGTGAGTCAATATATGGATATTTCACGTGGGTTTTTCGAACAACCGGTAGAGGAAAAAATGAAACACGTTCGGGGGACTGACTCAAATTTTGGCTGGGTCGCCGTAGAAAGGGAGAGCTTGAATCCGGAAAGACCTGGTGACTTGAAGGAAGCGTTTAATTACCAACCGGCGGATGATCCCGATGACTGGCCGACGGCGGAATTTCAGCAGGCAAGTCGTGATATGTATTTGCGATGCACCGAACTCTCACATCGTGTATGTGATGCACTCTCAGTTGGATTAGATCTAGGAGAAGATTTCATGAGGAATGCGCATCAATATATTGGCACAAAAGAAAATTCGACGGCTTTGCGTAGTTTGTATTATCCCCCTGTACCGCCGGAATCGAGTATCAAACCTGGCCAAATTCGTCTCGGGGAGCATTCTGACTATGGAACGATAACTCTTGTGTTTCAAGACGATATTGGCGGACTTGAAGTAAACATTCAAGATAAAGGTTTCGTACCTGCTACTCCTATCCCAGGAACTGTTGTAGTCAACATCGGGGACCTGATGCAGAGATGGACGGCTGATCAATTGATTGCAACAAAACACCGGGTGCTCATACCGGAAGTGGAGTTTAAGAAAAGGAAGCATCGGCAGTCTATTGCGTTCTTTGTTCATCCAGATAATAATTACATGATAGAATGCCTAGATGGGTCCAAGAAATACGAGCCAATTTCCGGCCTTGATTATCTTAACTACAGATTTAGTCTGACGTATTAACCATGTTATTACAAGTAAAACGGACTTGCTTTGTATTGCAACGTAATATTTAACAGCAGAAATTGGGCAAGTCGGTTGTATAAATTGTATATACACAGCACTGACTGGTTGGCTGGACTGACTTTGTACCAGTGTCAAAAGACACTTGTTGCATTGGGTGGGTTACTGACATTATCTATATTTCAGTTATCTCATTTTATTTCATTTCGAAATATTTTTGTTCAAGATATGGGCTTTAAAATTAAATTCAGAGTGAATGCCAACTGGAAGGAGTGCAATGACAAAGAATCGTTTGTAGTCATATCATAATCTCACATACATGTAGTTTGTAATTAATGCACAGAGCACATCTATAATCATTTCGACCTTCGAGTTTTCATTTACAAAAAAAAAGCCAAAAACACAAACAAAAAAACGTTTCAACATGGCTCATGCCTTGCATTTAATTTACTTGAAATAAATTAATAAGCAGATGTTAATCTAATGACTTGTGTTGTTTTTATTTTTGTTATTACTTCGTGTGACTATATTTAAAATTCATTTCTTTACCTTAAAGTAAATCATTGTAGCTTGATAATTAGGAAAGGGTAAGTGCGAAGCTTAACTGAACCACTATTATTACTCTTTCTCTCGAGTCATCCAGTATACACCAGAATTGTGTAACACCTTTGGTCAGCCGAAATGATCTTTTCTGTTTTGGCGCCATATGACCTACACTGTGTTGGTGCGCCGTAAAACCAGACTTATTTATTGGCTATGATTACAATTTTAATTTACCACTCACATGAGTCGGCTTCCTAAAAGTATCATAAGTCGAAGCATGGTCCAGGCCGTCATTAATAGGATTGAAAGCGAAGTTGCCTTGGTTGAGTCAAAACATGTTCTAATTTAAAAACTCTTAAGTCTGCTAGTGGCAACATACTCTACCCATGCAACCAGTGCAGACCAAGATCAACCGGCACATCAGTGCTATCTAATCATCATAGTCTTCAATATTCAGTGATTCGCTATTCAGTCGATCAGTACATATTTTGAAATATTGCCTTAAAATGACAGTTTTGTCTAGATTCAAAAATAAGGTATATATCGCGGTAGGGATTATTGTGCAAAAGCTATGCTTACTGATTAGCCAGCTTCGAGATTAAACAATGCATGAGCACATATACACGTGTTTATTGAAAGTTTAAGTAGTATATATGTCATATATACGCCTGTCAGTTTAAAGAGGTCCAGTTTAGGCAATACCAGCAGCAGAACATGTCTATGAATAATGAGATGGTACTCCAAGGCAAGTCAGGTATCGAATATGTTGTTTTTAAAGCAGCATATGCCTACATATTCATGCGTATTTTTATCAAAATTTCTAAAATGTATTAAAAGTAAAATTCAAGTAAGAAAAGAAGGTAAAAGAATCTGTTTTTACTTTTCTTAAAATCTTGTTACATTTTTCTCAGGTTTGATTTAAAAAAAAATATTTTGGCTTCTCAAGAGGCATGCAGCTTTAAAAGTTACTAGTCTAAACAGACACATGTACTTGCAAATATCTGGTGTACATGTAAAACGTAGTTTTATTTGCAGGTAATGTCCCAATAAATATTTGCTACAAGGACCAGAAAATATACGAGTTTATACAAAAAGCGGCCAGATAATATAACACTAACTAAATACAAAATGTATGGGCATGTCAAAAAATCTTACTATCTTTCATATACAATACATGACTTTATTTATGACCTACATTATTTATACACTTTTGGCCTATTTTTAAATAAAGATTGTAAACGGTTATGGGGTAACTTGTTGAGCATGACATTTACATAGTTAACACGATACTGCTTTGTGAAAAATCCGCAATAGCTATATAACCGAGAGGCAAAATGGCTGATTCAAATTCAACAATTCCAGTAATAGAGTTTGATAATATTGGTGTGCACAGACAGAGTAAAAGTGTTGGCAAGAATGAAATTAAACATGTAGGTAATCTTATGAAAGAAGCATTTACCGATGTTGGATTTTGCTATTTGAAAAATCATGGAATCGAACAAGATATGGTTGATAAATATATGGATATATCGAGAGAGTTCTTTGAACAGCCAGAGAAAGAAAAGACTAAACATGTTCGCAAAAAAGATCAAAACTTTGGTTGGGTTGGTGTTGAAACGGAGAAATTAAACCAAGAAAGACCAGGCGATTTGAAGGAGGCATTTAACTTCCACCCGGCGGATGACCCGAACGATTGGCCGTCGGTGACATTTCAACAAGCCAGCAGGGATATGTTTTTGAAATGTACTGAACTTTCCTATAGGGTGTTAGATGTACTGTCCGTTGGCTTAGGTCTTGGAGATGACTTTATGAGAAACGCACATAAGGATATTGGTACTAAAGACAATCCTACCACGCTTCGTAGTGCTTACTATCCACCTATACCATCTAATTTAGACATAAAGTCGGGCCAGATCCGCCTTGGAGAACATACTGACTGGGGAACAATAACGCTTTTATTTCAAGACGATATTGGCGGCCTCGAGGTAGAAATACCAGGTAAAGGGTTTGTTCCAGTAACTCCAATTCCTGGAACGATTGTGGTAAATACTGGTGATTTGATGCAGAGATGGACAGCGGATAAACTACTTGCAACGAGACATAGGGTAGTTTTTCCAAATAAAGATGAGAAGAAAAACAAGTCCAGGCAGTCTGCTGTGTTCTTTGTTGATCCACACAACGAATATATAGTTGAATGTTTAGACGGGTCCAAGAAGTATGAGCCTATTTCAATTCTGGAATATTTGGCCTACAAATTTAGTTTAACATACTGAAAAAGACCAATGAAACTGATGTTCATTGTACCATGAAGTCTTGTCCCCATTTGGTTATAATGGTTATTTTTTGTCGTCAGACGATAAAAAATGTTCCCTGTAATTTAGTTTTAAGTAGTAAACAACAGGGTCGTGATGGACTTAAATACTGTTAAAACATATGTTTAGTATAATGTTTTACATGTTCTTGTACAAATACTCAATTATTGTGACAAAATATGCATGTCTAAAAAGTACTTTTAACCTGGATGGGTTAAGAACAGTAGACAAATTGTGTGCTGATTCAATAAAATGCTGTGGTTAATGGAATATTTTAAAACGATATTGAAATAAAACATATTAAACTTCATTTCACATGACTGTAGTTTATATGTCACTTAACAAGAGGGCCATGATGGCCCTAATCAGAAGATAGGTCTACATTGACAAGAGGTTTAAAAGCTGGGTTTTTATTCTCTATTTATACCTCTGTCGCCCAATTTGTTCAACAGACTTGAACCATTTGAGCAATTTTTATAGAGGACTGTTCGAGGATCATTCTTGTAGTTTCATCATTATTGGCCAATCATGGGGTTTCTCACTTTGTGCTCTGGTGAGCTTAAACTCAGAAAAGCAGCTGATTCTATCACAATAACTAAAAATAATATAAACTACACATAAAACAAGAGGTCCAAAAAAGGCACTATACCGCTCTCCTGAGAAACGCTGTGAAAGACAAAATGCTCAATTGGGCTAAAAAGTATGTCATTAGATAAATAGTTGGTCAACTGATATCAAAGGTAAAATCCACACCTGAAACTGGGTATAGTCCAAATTTCATACCTATAGCTATAAGGTACATTGTAGCTGAGTTAGTCTAAATTTTATAACTTTATAGCTAGAAGTACAAAAATAGGTCACATGAACACAATCTAGGTCAACTGATGTCAAAGTTTCATTTTGTATCTGCAAATGTGCATCTGGTCAAAATTTCATAGCTGTAGCTTTAAATACAACTAGAACTCCGCGAGTTGGATGTGTCACCTTGTGAACAATATAGTTTAGGAGAAATGGCCAGGTCAAAAATGAAAATTAACAAAGGGCAATAACTCAAAAATAAAAAATGCAGAGCAGCAGTTTCTGTGGACTGCACTTCTTATTAATAAGATCTATCATCCTATGAAGTTTCAAGTCTATAGCTTTTATAATTTATGAGAAATAGCCTGGACACTTCGGGTCATTATAAGAAGCATGCATATCAAGTTTGAAGTCAATCCGACTATAATGACTGACTTATGCTCCGGACAAGCTTAAGGGGACGCCGACACTGACAAAATTAACCACTATATGTCACCTTTTTCAAGGCGACACAAAAAAGGTAGGTCCTTTGGTTATGAACCCAGTCATAGGGGGACTAATTTTGATCCTAGGGCTATAATTTGAAGGAATGGCCAACAAGACAATGTTTCTTCCCAACGTTTGAACATAGTTTGATACATAGAAAGAACATAGTTTGATACATAGAAAGAACATAGTTTGATACATAGAAGGAACATAGTTTGATACATAGAAGGAACATAGTTTGATACATAGAAAGAACATAGTTTGATACATAGAAGGAACATAGTTTGATACATAGAAAGAACATAGTTTGATACATAGAAGGAACATAGTTTGATACATAGAAAGAACATAGTTTGATACATAGAAGGAACATAGTTTGATACAGTACAGATATCGAGGAATATGCAAAATCCTCCGAGGATCGAGGAAAACACTCGCAACTCCGCGAGAGTATTTGTCCATAAAAACGAGTGACTCCGCGTGAGAAACGTGTGATAAGAGTGACTCCGAGACGAAAATAAAAGCGCGCGACTCCATGTCGGTGTCTAGCTGGTGTAAATAAATGCAAGTGCAATCTCATTTTATATTTAATTTAATTCTTTAGTTTACCATTCGAAAATAAAGATGATTTTTACGGTTGTTGTTTTCAATTTACCCTGAAACAGTTGAAAGGTACATTTGATTAGAAAAAATCACTACCGTAATCTCAAGTTTATTTTTATCCCGATTAATTAGGTCAGTAGCAATAACCACAGGAACCCGAAATTCTATCAAAAACAAAAAGCGATTTAAAAAATCCATATAATAACGGCCCAACATTTTTTATACCTCTTTAAGAAATGAATTAATTATATAAACTTCTTAATCTTAAATGTTTCTAAATGCATCAAATACCGATAATGTGCCGTTCTAATTTATTTCAGGTGCCAAATATTGTGTTGTGTTGTTTTTTTTCAATGTGGAAAATGAGTTTCGATCTTCATAATATTTTAATCATTGATAACATGTGCACATCAAAAAAATTGACTTTCCCAACTTTTATATTGGTTTGTATAGTTTTAAAAATTGTCATGATGTGCATGTACGTTTCTTCATAATCCATTGTTTACATGTATTTTAGTTACGTGTCAACCTGTCACATCCGCCGTTTTAATTAGAAGACACTTGATTTATATATAATTTTTGAGAATTAACATTAACTTAATCGTTTCTAAATAAAGCTGCATAAAAATTAGTAATATATTGTTGTAATTTTATTCCAAGAATATCTCCGAAAATCTGTCGGTCTCATTCTGTTATCAAAGTCATATGTAGATGTATGTTGATATTGATATCAAAAGTCAATTGTCTTGTGATGATCATTAATAAATTAAGATTTTTGTTTTTTATTTCAGGCATTATGGAGGAATTCAAGAGTTATAGAGGTGTTAACAAGTTGACAGAGGCCGTTCAACTTACCTAGCGCACTGCTCCCGTAATTCATTCACCTGTAATCAGCATTACAAAGATTGACAAAAAATAAAAACAGCAAAGAATAAAATGATCATTTTATTTGTCTTTTTGTTTTATTTGTTTATGGTTTGTACATCATCTATATCATGTCATTTTATAAAATAAAAAACAGTTTTGAAGAAGATTAAACTACTTCTGATTTCACGTACATGTACTGTTCATAGACGATAAAACAATATTTTTATAATAGCATATGAACATATTTGATCGTCACAGCAAGCGGGCATGCATTGTACATGTACGTATGTGGATTGAAAAAGACCGCCATGCCTTTAAAAAATCACTGCCAATCTCAATGTTCTTGTTTTATAATTCATGGTTTTATTTTTGAGACGACGCAGCGCCTGTTGTTTTCACCCTGCAAACATCGGTAGAATTTCATAAATGAATTCCTTAATGTTGTCCTTTCTTGTGCTGCCAACATCGGTAGAATTGCCGCAAACAGGACGTTTCGGCCCCAAACCAAATCGGCCCCAGTCGAAAAATCGGCCCCTGGACGTTTCGGCCCTTTTCCGCGAGACGTTTCGGCCCCACTATAGTGTATTGCTTGATTGATTAACAACAATTAATTTAATAACAATTAAACAATTATGACACTTTAATTCTTTGAATAATTATTTATTATCTTTTGATCTCTTGAACCATTTAGATATACGTTAATGTTTTTAAAGATGTTACAAACAATAAAGGCTGGCACATAGAAAGAACATACCGTTTAAGTGGTTTTTTCTGCGGTGACTTTATTTCTGCGGTCAGGTTCGGCACCGCAGAAATAAAAACCGCAGAATATTTCACTTACCTTCTACGATATGTATCCTACATTATGACCTGTTTCGTCTAAATTAATAACGACTAACAGATTATACCGGTTAGCGGGTTTTCAAGTTGTATAAAATTGCTTTCGGCTAAGTATGTAATCTGTGTTTGTAAGAATGCACTTATTGTTAATGATGCTAATTTAAGAATAAAGATATTTAAAAACAACCCTTATACTGCTAAATAATCGTTATATACTTTAATTGTCATCTGATTTGCGGCAAACTTCTATCAATTTTATTAAATTAAAGATACTAACAGGGTATATTTTTCACTGATCAAAGATGTATACCTTTCTATTGTTGTGCATTATATTTGCTTGCAAGCAAACAATATAATTGCTTGTAATTACTAAACAGTTTTGCGGTGACGACTATAAACAAATGTGAACATGTACATGCAAATATAATAGATAGGGTAATGTGACTTAGACTTTGATAAGACAAGTCGCAGAATTTAAATCACGTTATGTCCAAAGAATGTGCCGCAGAAATAAAGTCCGCAGAAATAACAAGAGCTGTCGGTAGGACAGCACGCTGGACTATTCTAAGTGCTTGATAGTAAAAGAGCCTTGATAATGTTAAATTTTCTAAGGTCACAAAAGGGCTAATTTTTTTTTATAAATTCATGTTATAGGCCTTAGAGAGAGTCTAATTATACAGTATTGGCTTGACTATTTGGAAGGTAATGTCACAAGGGTGTTTTATTGAGTATAATAATACTAATTACCTATGAATACATAAAATTGACAGAAAAGGTACAAAGCAGTGAAGTTGTTATTAAGATGTTTTATCAAGTAAATCATTGCTTTATTATTATGAATGCATAAAATTGTCCCAAAAAAGGCACAAACCCTTCAGTAGTTATGGAGATAACAGCTTACAAGCAAAACTTTACCATGAATTTTTTAAGTTGAAAAAGGGAAGAAAAATCAGCCTAAATGCAAGATAGAATTATGGATCTTTGTCAGTGACCTACAATTCTGACCCTAAATGCATATGTGAAGTTTTAAATAAATATCTTTAATAGTTATTGAGATATGTAAAACTTGCAATAACCAAGAGACTAAGTAGAAAAGGGGATATGAATCAGCCTTAATGCAAGAGTTATGGAACTTGGTCAGTGACATACAATTATGACCCTCAAATTATGACCCTAAGTACATGTGTAAAGTTTCAAGTAAATATCTTTGAAGACCTTTAACCAAAATCTCTAAGTTTCAAAGGGGCAAATAATTCTGCAAATATTGCAGACAGAGTTATGCAATTTTGCAAAATGATGTACATTGTTACTATAAAAAAGTATTGTAAATTTCAATTGAATATCTCAAGCAATAATTGAGATATTTG